GTATTCTTGGATTCGGTTTGCCAGTATTTTATTGAGTATTTTAGCGTCAATGTTCATGAGTGAGATTGGTCTGTAATTCTCTTTCTTGGTTGTGTCTTTGTGTGGTTTTGGTATCAGGGTAACTGTAGCTTCATAAAAAGAGTTTGGCAATGATTCTTCTGTTTCTCTATTGTGAAATACATTAAGGAGTATAGGTATTAGCTCTTCCTGGAAGTACTGGTAGAATTCTGCATTGAAATCATCTGGTTCTGGGCTTTTTTTGGTGGGGAGGTTTTTGATAACAGCTTCTAATTCTTCGCGACTAACAGGTCTATTTAGATTGTTCACTTGCTCTTGATTTAACTTTGGTAAATGGTATTTATCTAAAAACCAATCCATTTCTTGTACATTTTCCAACTTTGTGGCATATAAACTCTCGTAGCAAGATCTAATGATTCTTTAAGGGAGTTATTCATATCCTGTTTAAGAGACTCTATTCCTTTCATAATGGCACTTTTTTCCACTTCTTCTGGATTAAGGTGATCAAATCTTTCTATTGTAGGTTCGTGGGGATCTGGTGTTTTCATGTTGTTTTTCAGATTGTTGGAGGAGGTCTTGCCTTGGTGTCTGCCCATCTCTTCTTTCAAATTCTCTTTATTGTGTCTTCTGGTACTGGGTCAGGTTTCCTTGTTGGGCAGGAACTTCACTGACAGAAGGCCTACTAGTTCTCAGGCAGGCTTTTAAAACACAGGAACTGCCTCCTGCCGGGATGCACCTACAGCCCATGCCCAGCATGCAAGGCAGCTGAGCTGGGGAAATTTTATGGCCCCAGGGGGAAGGGAGGAATATAGGAAGGTGTACCTGGATGGAAGCTGGGATGGCAGGTGGGAGAGTTTAGCAGGGTGGAGCCATCACTGCAGGCTGACCTGGGAGTCTAGGGAGTCGGGGAGAGTCTGAACTCTTCCTTGCCAGGCTCCTGCTGCGGGCCAGAAGCAAACTCACCCCTCCGACGACTGTCTGCTAGAAGTCAATCCATATCTTTTTCTTTATGGAGACATTCTCACACACAAGTAAACACATAAAAATACTTTAAAGTATAATTAATATTTATAAATTCAGTGTCTATTTATCTTGAAACAGAACTCTCTTATCTTTCTTGATATTTCAAAAAGCACGCTGTATACTCCATTGAATATAACAGCAGAGAGCAAATGTTCCAATTAAAAAAGAGAAAATTGATTTAGCATCAAGGAATGATCATGTCAACTGAAGACAGAAATCCAGAAAAACATAATTTTTGTATAGAACCTAGAGTTTATGATAAAATCATATGCATTACCATAGCCTTGAGAAATCCTACTCCTCCAGTCATTGATTGTATTGCTAATGTGGCTTCCAATTGAACTGTCTCTGTCAACATGCCTGCAGTTTTCCTCACAAGACTTCCTGTTATCTCAAAATTGTCAGCCTCCTGAGGTTCTATTTCATCCTTTCTCAGTTCTCTCCCAAAGCCTCATAGCAGGGAATCTATATGAAACTGTCACAGATTCTCTGGACGCTGTGCCAATGTCAGGCATCTCGGCTGCCACCTGAGGTTATGTTGGTGTCCATGGACCAGGCTGCCTTAGGGACCAGACTGGTCTAAGAACTCTGTACTGCCACTGGAGGCCATACTGACATCCCTGTTCCAGACTGATGTCTAAATCATATCTGGTTCCATGGTCCTGCTACAGACAAGTTCAGTGTGGATTACTTTGGCCCATGTTGTCACTAAAGACCACATAGATGCCTGGGTCTGGGCCAGAATCTATGACTATGAGGCTCTCCAAAATTCATGTGTCCATTTAGGACATGCTGCTTTGAGTGACCTTCACTGTCATGCAGGGTCATGGTGTCAAACATGCCAGAACTGCTGCAAAATGGACCTGCAGCACCCAGGGTCTGAGTTGTTGTCAATGACTCTAGTTACCACAAAGTGTGGTCCATCAGCTACCCGAGACCATGTAAGTATTCAAGGATCATAGTGTTGCAAGGACCATACTGATCAGTGTGCCTGGTGCTTCCATCTAGGGTCATGGAGACATTGATCAGGTGCCACTGCATAGAGCCTTGTCATGCTTGAGGCCCTGCTGTGACAGTGGTCTGAAGTATGTCCATAGTTCCTGCTACCATTGAAGGCTCTACAGATGCACAGGGTCTAGAGACCATGTTGGTGACTGAAGGCCTTACTGTCACCTGGTCTATATTGTCTTGAATGGTCTGTGCTGTCACAAGGTCCATGAGGCACTGAACTGCTGCCAAGGGTCATGTTAGCATTAATGTTTCTGGATCTGATGATTGTGAGGATGTCTGTGGCCCAGTTTATCAGAGGGGCTTGTGGAAATCAGGCTATGCGGAGCCAGTCCAGCCCTTTGCAAGCCCTAGAACACCTGGCCATAGCCCTGTCTGAACAATTCAACAGGAGAACTTACCCTTCGACTCAGGGGAGAGCTTGATGCTCCAACTAAGGAAACATGGCCCTATCCTAACCACAGACATTCACCTCACCTGGACAGCACCTAGAGTTGATCTTGTGGTCAGGGATGCAGGTGATCCAAATCTGAGGGTATGAGATCAGTTGAGCTGACCCTACATTCCTAAGAGGAACTGGGGAAAAGGTTACCCTACTTTGCTGGGACAAAACAACAGAGCTGACCTCTGACGGTGCATGTGGCGCCGTGGATCTGAGAACCCGAGAGCAGGAGAGCAGGCACCTATCCTTGCTATAGGTTGAATTGGGTGAGCTAGAATGACTGAACTGGAGAGTGTTCCTGGGTAGTGAAAGGAGGGAAATCTGGCAGACTCACCAACCTAACATCCATTCAGGAACAGAACCAAGGGTATCAGTTGGCACACCCCAACATCATGCAAACCTATGAACTCCTGGAACATCTGAAGGGTCAAAACAGCAGGATCTCCATAATTTAGGAAAACAGGATATCCAAGAGGAGCCTTAGTGAGAATCCACTCTCAGTGGTGTAGCAAAAACTGTTGGTAGACCAATGACTCAAGTTAATGAACACTTGCAAGTCAAAATGGATTAAAGGGTAAAATGGGTGACTTAAGGGGCCACACTACAGTCTTTATGACAAGAGTTCATTTGTTCTTTTTTGCCTTGTTCCTCTGTTTTTCATGTGGGATTTCACAAAATGCATGATGTGTAATCCACAAAGAATTAAACTTACTCAAATGAAAAGTAATTTATAAATTTTCACTATTGCCTCAGTCTATGCAAGAGAACTTTTATAGTTCTAATGTCTATCTGTTTTATTTCAGAATATGGAAATACACATAAGGTTTCTTCTTATGTAGCTTATTACTCTCTCAAGTGCCTAACTCTTTATTCATTTACTTAATTCTTGAAGAACACCACAAGATATCAATCAGCTGGGAAACTCCCCTCAATTTTCTCTTACACCACGTCTGAAAAATCGTCATGGAGTATTGTTGTTTTAGGTTTGTGTACTTAAACAACAATATTTTTAAACAGAACAAGTGGATTTGAGATAAATTCAGGAAGTACAAGGAGTGAGTTGGAAGGAAGAGTGAGTGTAGATGAAGTGAAATCGATACAGTACACATGTCAGAAATTTTAGAAAATAAAACAAATGTGAACAAAGAATTCTTTGTATTGAAGTATTTTCTCTGATAGTTTCAAAACTTTGACTTTTAACACTGACGGCTTTGAGACTGAATAATTTATGGAAAGACACAGGTGAGTAAGCAAGTTTATTGAAGAAATGAAAGTATGTCAGGAATGAACAAATAACAGAGTCAATGACCTTGCAAGTGAGAGGCATGCTTTCAAAGGAAAGTTTGTTTAGTTAGTGTGGTAGCAGATTTGATTATAGGATATCTTCAACTTAATCAGGATTAGTTGACTCTCATTTTATTCTAATCAGGTTCTTATGTTTCTCTGAAGTTGAACAAGAAAAACTAATGTACAAATAGAGATTGAAATCATGAGTTTCAAAAAGGGTCCAACTGCCCCATAATTTTTGCTTACTACTCAAGTTCCACGAATATAAGATGATATCCTAATCATTTCCAGAGGATTCAATGAGTTACATATTGCTCAGAATTGAGTATATAGGGATAGTATGATATCATCAGAGCAGATTGCAGAATGTTGTATTCCTTTATTTTCTGAATGACTGAGAAGAATAGTTAGGTTTTCTGTCATAAATGAGGTAGGATCATGAGAGAGCTAAACACTGACCTGATCCATGCATGATTTTCAGCTTGTAATGTTTTGTAAGACTGACTATAGATTATAATTAACATAATTGAACGTGAGAACGTTGTGGAAAATTCAAGGAAACCTTGATTATTTCTATACACAAAGCTCATTTTGAAAAAAAGAAATAAAACAGAATCTGCAGAAGAAATGAGAAATAAACAGCAATCTTTCCCATCAGCCACACTAGTGAAAAAATTCAGTCAGAGACAAGTGATTACTGCTATTATTATAATAGTTTCCAATACCTCTTAACAGCCACTAATAAAAAATATTTGCCTTCACAGAAGAGGAGAATATTTCTTCAATTGCAGACATTAGACTAAAGGACATATATAGAACACAATGATTTAAAGTACCTAGAATACCTATAAATACTCTGTACGGTTCTTCTGATAGTGCATTATAAACTACCATAAATCTCAAGCAAGCCACTGTACTCAATTTGTTACTTTCTCTGCTATTATAATGATTCACAAGGGAGAATCTCATAGAAACCAAGTAGGAAACTTTCTTGAGAGTTCATTTGCTTTCTATGATATGAATACATTTAACCATTGTCATGTTCATCTTCTGTATATGAAATCTAATAAAAGAGCTATCAAGTGATTTTTAGATATTTATTAATTCCTTTCAAAAGATAAAAATCTTAAAACTTCACCTGGAGTGGTGGCTCTACCACTAAATGCTAGGCTCAGAAACAAAAGATGTTTTAAAACTTTCCTGAAAACTGTAATGACTTTTGTCACTCTCGAATCACTTGACATGTTAAGTGTAATAAGTCCCTTGAGAAGAAATTTTGAAGTAGCCTTTTCAGAGCACTATGAACCTCAGTGTTTCTCAGGGTGTAGATCACTGGATTAATTGCTGGAGATAGCACAGGATACAGCACAGAAAACAACCTGCCTGTAACTGATGTGGTATTTGAGGGTGGCTTCAGATAGACAAAGCAAGCAGCAGCCATGAAAACAGTGAATACAATGAGGTGGGGGACACAGGTAGAAAACACTTTGGACTGCCCTTGAGTAGCAGGAATCTTCAGTACAGTGGAGAAAATATAAGAGTAAGAGATCACTACACAGAAAATACAAGCGATAGCTAGACACAAAGCAATCCCAAGACTTATGTAAATGGCAACAAATAAATCAGAGCAGGAGATCCTTACCAATGAGGGAACATCGCAGAAAATCTCTGGAATTACATTAGAACCACAGAAAGGCATGGAAAATATGACAATTGTGTAGCTGACTGCAAAGAGCAATGCAATGATCCAAGATACACCCATCATCAGGACACATGTGACATTACACATGATGGTCTCATAATGCAGGGGATGACACACAGCAACATAGCGGTCATAGGACATGACTGTCAGGATAAATACTTCCTCTGCTCCAAAAGAGGCCATGAAAAATAACTGACATGCACATCCAACAATAGAAATAGAATTGTTGTGAGTTAAGCTACTGACAAAGAAATTTGGGATTGGGACAGACACTAGACAGACATCCAATAGGGACAAGTTTTTCAAGAAGAAGTACATTGGTGATTGGAGCTTCTGATCCAGGGTGATGAGAGTGATGATGAGGAAGTTACTCATTAGGATCATCGCGTATATTAACAGAAAGAAGACTCCACATAGAGTCTGTACTTCATGGATATCAGAGAGACCCATAAGGATGAATCCAGTTACTACAGTGATATTGGGCATACTATATTCTTTCATAACCTGACAGATGAGGAAAAATGAATAGAAATTTTCAAAATCCTGAACACTTACATAAATGGACACAGTCAGTGGAAAAGAGTCAGGAACCTACCTAAATTGCTTCAATGTTTTCATAAAATTCTCATTTTCTTCTTCTCTCACCATCTTAACCTTCCCCACTCCCGCCTATGTTTGTCTATGTATGTCTCTCTCCTCTCTTCTTCTCCTCACTCTCATTCCCTTACTTTCCCTCTCCTTTTAATCTCCCTTCCATCCAGTAATGATTTTAGGATGTTTTATATATTACTCTACTAAGCAAGTTTCTACAAATGATCTTTGTAACCTTACTCATAAACTTTTAAAATGAAGACTATGAGCTAGATCACTATGTGAAGATTTAATCTTCTACTTTTCAAGAATTGTCATTTTTAAAATTAGCAGGAAATTTTCATTGCTAACCACAGAATATAAAGTACAGAAAAGCTGAAAAAGGAAATGAAATAGTGTCATTTAGTCTCTTGATCTCAAACTTACTTTTTTATTAGATCCCTTAGATATTGTGCTATAAAGAACCTGTGCCAATTATTGACCATTTGTGTCAACTCTTTGCTTAAATTATTTTATTAAAAAAATTTAATAGAGATTAAATGATGCATATACTAAAACTGCTGCAAATACCCAATGCATGTCTAAGTGTAGTATAAGATATTGCTTTTCTGCAATTATTTCCCTTGTTATGATTATTTTAGTCACTGACCAAATTGTTATTCTGATATTAAGGCTATCATGGTGTCTACCTCCAGCCAGTAAGAATCGCACTCCTAGGTAAAGAAAAGGTATTTAACTAAGGTGTTTCAATTTTATTAGCTGCTATCTTTTAGTTCATCTATTCCCAGACTACAGAAGACACCCAAGATATTCACTCATTGTCAAACACTTTGTTTGAACAGGGGAGTTTTAATAGATAAGTAACTGCAGGTGACCCTGACTCATTGAGAAGCCAGGATCATCAATAGGAAACAAATTTCCCATCTTCCATCTTACATCTTAGATGTAAATACCTGTAGATCTAATAAAATTGGCTCATCAACTTGAAAAAGCTTTCCTTTCAATTACTAGTTATAGTCTCTTGTTGCAGATTCAACTCAAATGAACCTTGCAACACTTAAGACTCTCTTTGATGGGAACTGAAACAACAGTCACTATCACAACATACTAAACCAGACTACTTATTCTTTCCTTGTTTAAATTGGCATTCTTGTCAATACTTCCATTATGTTGTCTATGGTTCCATATTGAATCAAAAGGTGGTGATAAGTGATGTGAGAGAATTTAACTCTTTCTGCTTCTAAACAACATAGGCAATAATTTTGCGAAATGTAAAACTGTTAAATATTTAAGGATAATAAAAATATTCGTGAAAATGAAGGGATAATTTGTTGAAATGACATTAAGGAAATTCTATGGCATTAGGATCCTGACTTTAGAAAGTCACAGCAAATTAGGAATATCCTATCTGCATGACTATTAAACAGTAGACATAATGATGAAAGGCAAAAAAGGAAATTAGAAGATACAATTTTATAGGTCAGCCCTGTCTTCAGAAGTTCCATACTCTTTCTATCTCTCTGTCTCTATTTTCTTCTGTCTCTCCTTCTCTCTGTGTCTGTGTATGCTTTTGTGTGTGTATATATGTTTGTATATGGATGTGTTTTAACTAAATTATACATTAATATAGATATTGTGGGAGCTTGTTTTTCTCTCCTGGAGGAAGCAAAATATTAAGCATGAAGCAAATTTTAACAAAAAAAAATGAAGAATTTCAGATGACGTGTTCTTGGACATTCAACA